TTATATTTTTGCAATTTTCCCTTAAACAAAAACAAACAGATACGCAAACGCTCTCAAAACGCGTTGGCCGCAAATTACAATACTCCTCAAAATGACGTCGTTTTGGACCTTCATCGCCCTGGCTAATTGATTTTGCCGCCGTCACGGCGAAATCTTGTTCTCGGAAATACGACCGGAGAATTTGATTCCGGAGATGGAGAAGTGGATTGCTATAGGATTTCTCTCGATCCACACCATCGCCATTCTGATCTTCACTCGTGGGTTTCTTCTTACTCGAACAGAGCTTCCTTTTCACAGTACTTGCTCCGACGTTTCTCAGTCTCCTTGCCTTGCTTCTCCACTCCCCAATCACGATTCGAATTCCGATCAGCCTAAATGTTGGACCAAACCCGTTGTCGATCGCGTCATCATCATTGTCTTGGATGCTCTCAGGTTTCGATTCTACACATTCGATTTCACAATCCATAAGCATTTCGTGATTTTGACTGTTTTGCCATGTTTTTTCAGAATCGATTTTGTTGCCCCGAGTGCTTTTTTCCCAGGTGAGCTAAAAGCAAAGCTCTTTATGGTAAGTATTGCTTGTTAGTGATCTGAGTAATGAAACTACAAGTGATTCTATAATTGACAGAACCAAAGCCATGGATGGACAAATTGACGATCTTGCAGAAGCTTGCATTTGCTAACGAATCGTCTGCTAAGATCTTTAAGGCTTTTGCCGATCCTCCTACGACGAGTTTGCAGCGTCTCAAGGTCCCAAATTTTATACACTTTCTAGTTTGGTGACTACTTAGATTGTGAGTCTAGTGCGTGAGTTCATTAACTGTGGATTCAGGGATTAACAACTGGAGGATTGCCTACTTTTATCGATGTTGGAAATAGTTTCGGTGCGCCTGCTATTGTTGAAGATAACTTCATCAATCAGGTTTAGGCTTATCTAAACCAAAGTGTTTTGTTTTCTAATGTCATTTTGATTTGGTCGCATTGGTTATAACTTGAATGGGTGCTCTCTATGCATAGCTAGTGCTAAATGGGAAACGGTTGGTGATGATGGGTGATGATACTTGGACACAGTTGTTCCCAAATCAATTTCAAAAGTCATATCCTTTCCCCTCTTTCAACGTTAAAGACCTTGATACTGTAAGTGATTCATATTTTGCTCTCTGATTACATGTTTGTTTCCCATGTAGCTTGGCTGAGTATGTATGATACTGGTTGTGCTTTTACAGGTTGACAATGGATGTATTGAGCACCTATTCCCAACCCTTTACGAAGATGATTGGGATGTCCTAATTGCTCATTTTCTCGGCGTGGTATGCCAAAAATTACATTTTTTTGTCTTTTTCTTTGTCATCTGGCCATTCATTTCTTTGATTCAGTGAATGTTTGCAGGACCATGCAGGGCACATATTTGGAGTGGATTCCATCCCAATGATTAAAAAGTTGGAGCAATATAATACAGTTTTAGAGGTAAATTTCTGTTAACTACGGTTATCCCTTGTTGACGGAAATAAACCATCTTATCATAAACTTTCGCTGTCCTTCAGTCTTGCAAAACGTTGTTAGCATGCTATATGTAATATTGTTTAATTTTTATTTGAAATGTGGCTCGTCTAGAAAGTCATCGATATATTGGAGAGTCAGGCTGGCCCAGGTGGTTTGCATGAGAATACTATGCTTATCGTAATGGGTGACCATGGACAGACATTAAATGGGGATCATGGAGGAGGGACTGCTGAAGAGGTAAGAAGTTGGTTTTCTTCTTATACAGTTATGCTTCAGATGATTAATCCATCTTCGCCTCTAAATTTATTTAAAGGTAGAAACATCCATGTTTGCCATGAGTACAAAGAAGCATACATCTCCGGTTCCTCCTGAGTTTGATACCTCATCTTGTAAACAAAATCCGGTAATTGTGACCATCGAAACATATTTCCTTGGTGATCATAAGTATTGAATTTGAGATATTTTATTATTCTGATTCTGTTGGGTTCATCTTAATGTCAGGATGGGAAGCAGATTTGCATCAGCTCCATCGAACAGGTCAGTGTCAAAATTGATGTGATGCCTTTCCTCTTGCTCTATGCTCACCTCTTTGCCAGAAGTAATTGTTCTGTGCTATTTGCAGCTTGATTTTGCGGCAACATTGTCAGCTTTGCTTGGGATATCCTTTCCTTTCGGAAGGTGGTGCCTTGTAAGGATCATTGTCAAAATTTTGTTTCCTGCATCTATTCAGGAAATATCCATCCACGCATATTAGTATTTCTGAAATTTCGTTACGTATTTAAAAATTTCAGCATTGGGCATGTGAACCCTGAGCTCTATGCCCTTGGTTCTAGCAGCTGGAATTTGGATAGCACTGAGTTGGGAAATTATGGCACCCAATCAGCTCTTACAGAGTGGATGAAAAGTTATGCAAATGATCTCTGTGTGAATGCTTGGCAGGTAGCAAGTCTTTCTCCGAAAAAAATTTCTTGTAATGATGTTCTGTTTTCGGACTCTCATTTTCTAACTCCATTTATATGCAGGTGAAAAGATATATAGATGTTTATTCTAATTCTTCTGTTGTTGGTTTCTCTTCCGATGATATGTCGAGGATATCAGATCTATATTCTGCGGCGGAACAGAATTGGTCTAATTCTGTCAAACACATATTGAAGGATAGAAATCTAGATGAGGACAGTACAAATATATCTTCCCTTAAAGAACAAATTGCAGCATATTTGAAATTCTTCTCAAACGTTGTTGAACTTGCCCGGTCTAAGTGGACAGAGTTCAATCTGAATCTAATGATTACTGGGTTTGGGATATTGGTTATATCAGTCATCCTTCAGTTTCTTGCTGTTTTCCGTGGTGACAAACCTCATGCAGTGGATTCTGGGGTATACACTGGTGCAGCGTTCACTCTCTTTATTCTATTGATTCGTGCTTGCAGCTTTCTTTCAAACAGCTATATTTGTAAGTTTCACGTAATTTTATGTTTCAGCTTTTCTGCGCGCTTTTTGATTTTACAATATCCTACCCGCTGCTGACAAAAAGTTTTTGTGTCGATAGTGGAAGAAGGAAAAGTTGCAAACTTTCTCCTGGCAACAACTGGACTTGTCAAGTTGCGGTACTCCGTTATGAGAAAAACAATGCGGAAAGAAGTCAGTCTTATCTTTTACATGTTTTTGTTACTTCTGGTCATTACCTCAAATGTTGCTTGCTGTGTAATAAATTTTCTATTTATCTTGTTGCAGGCTGTTATATTTCTTGCTATGGTTTCTGTTCTAAGGGTTTCTATAGATATTGGGTTAACAAAACAAGCTGCAACTTCTCAGTTTATGAGTAGCTCACCGTCGTGGATGCTCGGGATAGCTCCAGATCATTATATATTCACATCTGTGTTCGAAATTGCACCAGTTTTATCGCTGGTTGTTCTCATTTATGTGCTCTACACAGCGATTGCTAAAGCACCCAGTGAGGGGTTGTGGAAGTATGTTACCGTTGGTAGTATGATAAGCTACATTTTGATAGCATTGCTCTGGGCTTCAGAGAGCAAGATATTTGGCTTGGATAGTTTACTTCATGTGACCGGAGGAAAAAATCGCATCCCTCAAACGATTTATGTTATCGGATTGATGCAGCTTTTCCTTTTAGCTTCTGCACGTATGCTTTGCACAGGAAAAAACAAGAACTGGGCCATCAGAACTGTCGCAATTGTATCTGCTTGTAGCTCGCCAGTAATTCTCTTGTCGGGGAAGCAAGGATCAATGCTTGCATTAGCATATTTGCTGGCTGGTAACTTTTTTCTTCTCACTTGACGATTGTGAAAGGAAAAAGCTTTATAACAATGATTGCAGTTCAGGTCAGTAAGGATTAATAGATACCTAGTTAAAACTATGCAGGTTATTGTATAATGAGGCTGGAGGGTATAGAGAGAAGATCCCAATCAGATGGAAAGAACAGATTTCCAAAACTAAATCCTCTCTGCGTGGTGCAATGGAGTCTTCTTTCTGTATGCATGTTTTTCGCCAGTGGGCATTGGTGCGCCTTTGATGGCCTCCGTTATGGAGCTGCATTTGTTGGGTAGGTCCTAATGTCATAAACCCAAACTACAATGGATACTTCTTTCTATATGATGGTTTTGCTTACACATCCTTTTTCAGGTTTGACGAGTTTGTGCTTATAAGACAAGCCATCCTTTTGACAGTGGAAACATTTGGGTTCTCGGTCATCCTTTCCGTATTTGGACTTCCTCTCCTCATGCCGATCCACTTTCAAACTCCTCAGGCTTATGGAGAAAAGCGCCAACAGCTGTTTCAAGTAAGACATCTTATTCATTTTTGGTATATTCTAGCAGTAAGGTTCAGGAACAAGATGTTAAATCATGTTTCTTTGCATTCACATCAGATGTATATGCTCTACGGAGTTATATCCACAACTACTGTCGCGGCTACAATCCTTTGTGTTACCATCCACAGAAGACATCTGATGGTAAACACAGGAAGATTCACTCAAGCCAAAAGTTCTTGTGTTGTTTCTGTGACTAAGACATTGCTCATGTTCTTGCAGGTTTGGGGTTTGTTTGCTCCAAAGTTTGTCTTTGACGTTGTTGGTCTTATCCTCACTGATCTCCTCATCTGTTTGGCGTCAGCTTACTATATTTGATTCATACTTGCATTTGTTGAAGATATAACAGTAGTTTTTATCAGGTACATTTTTTTTTAGTTTTCTACGAATGTATAAACAATGATCATTGAGCATACAGTAAAAAAGATTGTTACAAATCTCTAATCCCATTTAGTGGTAGCTGAGAGATGATTCAAATTCTCATTACAATAAGAAATACAATCTGCAAGAGTTCTCTTGTACCTTAACCTCCATTGCACTGACAATCTCCACTTGCACATCATCCTGTTAGTTTTCCTTGAAAATTCTACATCTTTACCAGAAAATCCAATGACATCCCACAAATCATTCACATTGAGAAACGTTTGTACTTCGCTGCCAAAAGCTTCTCTTTCTTCCTGCTCCAGATGCAATTCGGGATCTTGGATACTGTGAATGTTATCAAGAATCACAGTGTCCTCTAGGACAGAAGTTGGCAGATCTCTTAAAACACTTCCACATTTCTCAGATATCCACTTCATGACTAGGATCTCGTTCTTCACAGATATCTGAGATCCAGCATAGACATGGCGCATAACTGACTTGTCACGTTGGCTCTGTGGAATCAGCCAGAGTCTCAATGTCGATACAAGCGCAAAAGATGGCTTACCGTCTTGATGAATGTATAAAGAATCTTTAGGCCATGAAGAAGCTAGAGAATAAACACTGGTCTCTAGAGGAATGAAGACCTTGTCATTTGAGTTGTCTTCTAACATAAACCCATAATGCTCAAGAAGCTCTAGATTCGTGTAAGTGCCGTAGCATAGAAGAACCTAGATACACAAAACAATCCTCGTCATTAAGTATTATTTTCTACTTTATGCTTCCGGTTCATTAGTTTCACACCTATAGCAAAACTAGTCAAGAACTTGTACCTGATCTCCTAGCTGATAATTCCTTCTTGCATAAAGACAATAAGCATTGGCATCTTCATCAAATCCACCATCTGTGAGCCTTTCAGAATGAGTCTCAACAACAAGTACTACCTCCTCCGCATTATCCAGACACTCATGATTATTAGTTGATATAGCTAGAGGTGATGATGTCTGCATCACACTCTCAGGACCTTCTGAGGTATTCGAATCATCTCCAGGAGCATCGTAGTTAAACAAGTCCGCCACAGGACACAAACACCCAGCACTATCCCATGGTATATGCAGCGTCCGTGAAGATATCTTCAAACAGAAGAAGAGTTTGAAGCTGTAAGGTTCTATTTAATTAAAACCGATTTCTCGAACATCTTTCCTGTGCCATAGATGAAGTATTCAACTATTCTTACAGTTGCAGAAGCCCAAAGCCATGCTTGGAAACTCTGAAACTTTGGCTTGAGATCTAACTCCTTCATCAACGCACCAGCTTCCTTCCACTCAGACTGAGACTTGGCTATGGCTTTCTCTGTAGCCCAAACAGCATCTTCAACCTAATGACATGAATCACAAAATTCCAACTTTAGAATTGAAATCACCAGAGGAAAGAAAGAGACTTGGATCTCAATCTAACCTATTCAAAACCAAAATAATAACACAAAAAGTGTAGTAGAACACAGAACTTGTAATGCTTTCTTCTCGAATTCTCCAAATGTAGCCAAGAGATCATAGTCACGGGGTAAATGCACCAAATATGGATACCAAAAAGAGTTCTTTCCCTTGCTCATTTCATACAATAAGCAAACACTCAATATCTGCAAATTTTCAAGGATTCTTGGTTTGAGATTTCCCCAGACACAAAAAAAAAACAGAACAAATCAAATGGGTCAGAGAAATAGAAACCTGGGTCGAAGAAAGCGATCCGTGGAGATTAATCGCATTCCTCAATTTCTCATCTTTAGCGACCATGGATTCTGTGTTCATCAAAGCGTTTCTCGGGACTTTCAAAACCAATTCTCCTTTCCTGAGCTCACGAACAGCACCCAAACCCCTCCTAGTTCCATCAAAATCAGTATCGAGCAATGAGAAAGACAGGTTTTTCGAAACTGGAATCGAATTCGTTTCTCTACACTCACCCGCCGGCGAGAGGGAAGTCGGCGACGGAAAGGGAATCGCCGAGACATGAATCGCGAGATCGAGAAGAATCGATGGAATCCGAAACGCCAAGCTCTGCTGCCCATCGCAGGAACGTTTCCATTGTTTGGTGTTCTAAGTCCATACTTCCATGTTCGTCTTCTTCCTGGGTTTTTGGAGTATTCTAAAACCCTGATTCTTACGCGAAAGACTTTTTCTATAAATTACGAAATTGCCCAAGTCAGACTTTTTTTGGCACGTGGACTCGTCATTTGGGTCAAATCCGGTTTAGTTCGAACCCGTACTTAACTTTGTGATAATTTTGGTTTTCAGGTCCGGTTTGGATTTTGTACAAAACAAAACTCAAATTTTTTGGGGTGCGGAAGGGGGAGGAAGTTGAACAAAATTCAGACCTCTAATCGATACCTAAGCTATATATATATCTTTGATCACAAATCGGAAATATTGAACTTATAAATTCGAGTTTATACCAATCTTCTTCACTCGTGCAATTTCACAATATATTGATCATTGTGAGCAAGTAGGAATTGATATGTAATCAACGAGTCAAAAACTAAAATAAACATTTGGTCACAACATATTATATAATTTAGAGTGATTAGCTAGATTAACCTTTTTTTTTTTTAATAGCTATAATAACTTTATTATTTTTTAATTGCTAAAATAATTTACTCTAGATTTTTCTTTCATAATATCAAAATTGTCATTCGCACACTCTACCAAAATATTGGCAGACTCTACTAAAATATTAGAAGATTCTATCGAGACATTGGTAAACTTTATTGTGATATTGGTTGACTAGCTGACTGAGATCTAAGTCTACTAATATTTTAATTAGAAGACTTTTAAAGCGTCTACTAGAAAAACGTAGTCTCTGCCGAAATATTTGTAAACTCTACTGAGATATCAGCAGACTCTGCCGAAACATTGGTAGACTCTGCCGAAACATTGGCAGATCCTGCCGAGATATTGGCAAAGTCTGCCAATATCTAGAAATACGCAAACTCTGCCGAAATATTGGCAGACTCTACCAAAATATTGACAGACTCTACCAAAACATTGTTTGACTCTGCCATAACATTGGTACTCTGTCAAAACATTAGTAGACTCTGCTAAATATTAGTAGATTCTGCCGAGATATTGACAGATTCTACAGAGGCATTGGCAGACTCTGCCGAGGCATTGACAGATTTTGTCGAAATATTGGCAGACTATAACAAGACATTGGCAGACTCTGCCAAAAAAATGTAGATTTTACAAAAAAAATAATAATCATAATCTGCAAAAACATAAACAGATTTTTGGAGTGTTTTGTATTATGTTGATAATGG